ACCACCACCACCATCTCCTCCTCCTCCTCCATCCATCCTCCTCCTCGTTTCCCACTTCCCAGCCTCTTTCTCACCCAGAGATTATCCCTATCCCCTCCTCACTCTCTATAATTCCCTTTTGCCTGACTTGCACCCTCCAGAAATCCCCGTTGGCTATCAGCTGACAGTCGTCACGAATGACGTGCTACTCCTCCTCCTCCTCCTCCCTGACTCTCTGATTCCGAATGAACAGACAATTTTCGAAGGAGACGACCTCACCGCAGCCGCAGCCGCAGCCGCAGCAGCAAGTGCTGAGAGGAACAGCATCGCCCTGAAAGGGTCTTCGGTCTTGCCATTCTACTTCTTCCTTCCCTCCTCATTTGGCCCGCAGCTCGCCATTCTGCTGGAGATGGCAAGGACGTGTGATCTCTACGTCATCACGCAGGTCACCAGGTGACGCTTCATGGCTACGTTCTTGTGAACTTGTTGTTGAGGTTGGTTCTATATCGTTGTGTACTTGTTGATGTTGTTATCGGAGTGTTGTCAGCTGTTAGCTGCACATTCCTTCTGCCCTGCCAGCAGTCACTCTTATGCTTCCAGTGATGAAGTTGAGAACAAAGTTGTCGATGCTCTAGAGCAGGCGGGAGTCTTCGATGCTGGCTTGAGCCCGCATGTAAGATCCTCTCTCCCCCCTCTGCTCCCCCCCCCCCGCTGTCCCCCCAGTCTCTAGTTTCCTTCCTCTCCATGTACGTCTGTTCAAATTTGTTCGATATCCCTCCCTTGCTATCATCGTACCCCTCTCTGTGCTCCATTCTTCTGTCTCCTTGACCCCATTTTCCTTTCTCATCGCACTTGTGGATTCTCTCCCCCCCCCCCCTTCCCCTAGTCCCCCTTCCCCTCCTCTCCTCTAGTCCCCTCCCCTCCCCTCCCCTCCCCTCTCCTTACCTATCCTCTTTTCACCTCTCCTCTCCTCTCCTCTCCTCTAATCCCATCCCCTCCCCTCTCTCCTCTCCTCTCCTCTCCTCTCCTCCCGTCTCCTCCCGTCTCCCCCCTCTCCCTTCCCGCCTTCCCGTTTGGTCACCGTTGACCTACTGCTCGCAGAAAGTTCTCTTCTGCGAGACTGAGCTCGGTAGAGCTGCCATGGTTCGTCAGATCGAGCCAATGCTGCATGTAGAGAGCTCCGCCGTCGTTCTCGAGTCCCTCAAGCCCTTCATCCCCAACCTAGTGAGTTTCTCAATCGCTTCTGATGCCTCCTGCTACTCTTCTTTCTACTGCTCCATCTCACTCCCTCCTGCTACTCTTCTTTCTACTGCTCCATCTCACTCCCTCCTGCTACCCTTCTTTCTACTGCTCCATCTCACTCCCTCCTGCTACCTTCCCTCCTCCTGCTTCCTCCTCCCCCGCTCCCCTGCTCCGTCTTCGTTTCTCTTCTCGGGCTCTTCTTGTCGTCTCGTCACTGTTAATTATCCAGGTCGTCGTCAAGACGCCGTACAACGTAAGCTCGCTCTCCTCGGCTCCTGCTGGGCGAGGAGGAGGAGGAGGAGGAAACGTAGCGATTGTGGATGATCTAAGTCAGTACTTCATGCAAGCGAGCTCGCCGACATGAGGAGTCTAGCAGCCGCAGCTGGCCAGACTCTCAGTGAGGAGGAGAAGGAGGAGAAGGAGGAGGGAGGAAAGGGATACAGAGCGAGGGGAACAAGGAAGGAGGGAGGTGGAGGAAACGGACAGAGCGAGAGGAAGGAGGAGGGAGGTCTTCTGTGTACTGCTGCTGTTCTAATAATCATGCTAGCGCATGTTGTGAATGACTTTAAGGTGTAAGTAGAAGATGTTTCAAACTCACCCTCCGCCCTCTCCGACTCGTCACGCTTCCCTTCTCTTCAGCGCTGTATCCCCTGAGCTGTCAGTTGGACCTTCGGCAGCCTCCGATGGGCCGAGAGGCCCGAGGCCGGTCACCAGTATGAGGAAACAGCCCGGCGCTGTTGCGTCTTTTTGTCTATGGATTCGATGAAATTCCCGGCGATGACGAAGAGTTTGAGCTGATATTTTCACTTGTTACAGGACAGCAGGACTGTAGAGCAAGCGCATCCGATCTTACAGTCTTCACCCTCCCATGTTTGATTGGAACACCATGGGGAGACTACAACGTCGCGTTGTGCTCGGATGTCATGAGCGGATCCTCCGACAACAACGAGTGCAAGATACGACAACTAGCAATGCTTTCTCTGCAACCGTATCCAATACTTGTAGCTCCCACTTGATTGATCTTCTACTTCATTCAATCTCAAAATACCCTACCCTCTCCTCCCCTCTGGACTATCCAGTACCCCCCCTCCTTCCTCCAGCTCCCGCCTCCTTCCTCCGTCACGTAGTTCCCCGTCCTGTCGATCGACCGGCAGCCCATCGTCCTCCCTGTCGCTGCCAGCACATGCCAGTAGGCGCTTGCCGGCTCGGCCCGTCCGAGGCAGGAGATGGAGCGGGAGCAGGGAGAGAGCTGGAGGACGCTGCAGAGCGGACGGCTTGAGTGAGAGGAGAAGGGGTACTGACTATCGCTGGCTGTGATGCCCGAGGAGGCCATTGAGAAGATGCTGCTGCTGTCTGGAGGAGGGAGGGGCTCGAGAGCAAGTCGATGGGAAGGGCGGCAGAGACAGAGGAGGTAGGAGGAGGTAGAAGGAGGAAGGAGTAGGAGGAGTAGGAGGTAGGAGGTAGGAGTAGAAGGTAGGAGGAGGAGGAGTTAGGCGGTAGGAGGAGGTGCTGCAGGCAGGAGGAGAAGGAGGGGTAGGAGAAGTAAGAGGTAGGAGGTAGGAGTAGGAGGATCTGAGTGAGAGAGAAGGAGGGAAAGCTCCTGGGGGAAGGAGAAGGCCCAGGACGGCAGAGGGACAGCAACAAGATCTCGTCACGGAGCAAGGGAGCGGTAAGATAAATGGAGGAGGGTGGTGCTGGAGCAGGATACATCAGGCGCCCATCCTGTCATCTCCCAGGCGGATGACACACACGCACAACTCCGAAACGTTGCAGTTTGTGGCAGTCTTCTGCTGGCGTTCAACCAATTTGGTTCGTCACATGACTATGGTCCGTGATCACCCGGCCCGGGGCCTCGTGACAAGATATTTGTCACCACCCGTGTAACTGAGATAAATGGCCTCCGGAGGGGTGGTTCTCCAATCAAGAGTGAAAACACTCCTTTTCGCCTCCCAGCCAGCCAAAAAAACATGCGACAGGATATTTCTCACCACCCTCGTATTGGCAGCATAAAGAAGGTCTAGTCGAGCAGCGATACCAATAAAAAGAGCTGCAGCCTTCCCTAACAGACCCCTGCCATGTCCCCCCTCCATCGGCATCTTCAGATGTATCCCCCTCTCCTCTTCCTCCCTCTCCCTCTCCCTCCTCTCCCTCCTCTCAGCCCTGTACCTGCCCGACCTCCTTCCCCTCTCCCTCTTCGCCCCCCTGGCTCCCCCTCTTTCTCTCTGATATCGACGCCTCCCTCCCCCCTTCCCTCCCTGATCTCCTCCTCCTCCTCTCCCCTCCCTCCGACCCTGCCTTCCTCGACCCTGACCTTGACTGCTCCCTCCCCCTCCTGCCCCTTGAGGACCTCCCGACCAGTCCTCAGACCCCTCTCGCCCCTGCCTCTCCCTGTCCTCGCAAGCAGGATACCCGGCGCCCATGGAGCGACGAGGAGCACGCCGCCTTCCTCGACCTCATGGTCAAGTACAGCCCCGTCAGCTCCCGGCCCGTCCACGCGGGAGGCATGCTCTACAGCGGGCTGGGGCTGGGAGTCGCGAGGCGGATCGCAGAGGCGCTAGGGACGCGATCGGCGGCGCAGGTGCGGTCGCATGCGCAGAAGCACTTCCAGCGGGAGAGCCGGAGGAGGGCGGAGGGGACGGGGGAGCGAGTGACGATGGCGAGGAGGAGCTGAAGAGCCCCGGCAGGAGGAGAAGCAGCTTGCGATGAGCCAGGTGGAGTAGGGGGCTACAGCATCGTTTACGGTTTTGTAATCAAAGGCAGGAAGCTTTGACTCGTCCGAGCGTACTTGAGGGGTTGCTGAAGCAGCTGCGAGCATGCGGACGTTTGTCTGTTACAGCGATGTCTACACCCCAATCTCGCTCTCAGATAAGACGGGAAAGAGAGGAGAGTGCTTCCAGTACTGGGGGAGGTGCGTTGTAGACTAGGACTTCGAGCAGGATTCGAGGCACAAGCACAGACAAGCTTGCAAGGCCCTGGCGGTCTGGCAGGCAATGTGCGTGCTCTGCGGTCGGGTAGGGTATGGCTAGCGTCAGCCAGCCATGCTCGCCTTACAAGCTTACGGAGCAATCTTCGACGACGGCTGGCAGTACCTTTCTGACTCCCCCCGTGAGAGCAGATGATGCTGGGACAGGCGATGTGAGCTTGTTGGAGAAACGGATGTCCGTCAGTTGACGATGCTGCCGGCATCGCTCAGACAAGATTTCCTGTAAAAATCAAGAACCCCACCCACCCCCCACACTTCCAAACAGTCACAGGACGCAGTTGCCCGAACCGTTGCGATCTGAACCGACGCGCTTCAACAGTCGATGACCTCCGACTGGTGCCTGAAATGAGATATGAACCTCCCCTGACCCCTGGGGCAGTACCCCCTCCCCTCCTCCCCCACGTACCCCCCCTCCCCCCTGTTCTCTCCCTCCCTCCCTCCCCTCCCTCCCTACTGGCTCAGCGACTCTCTGCCCCCCCTCTCCGTACTTCGATTGTTTTCAGGACGACCCCGTCCACAAGACCACCCCCTCACCCTCACCCCCACCCCCCAGACACTTCCAAAACAGCCACAGGACGCTCCGAACCGACGCGCTTTGGAGTAAAATGAGATTTGTACTGTCCTTTGGTTGCTCCCTCGCACCACTTGCTGCCATGTCCCCCCCCACCTCGCCTCCTCCCACCTCTCGCAAAACTGCTCCTCCTTCCCCTCCTCCTCCTCCTCCTCCTCCTTCTCTCCCTCCTCGCCCTCCTGGCTCCCTCTCTTCCTCTCTGATATCGACGCCTCCCTGCCCCCATCCCTCCCTGATCTCCTCCTCCTCCTCTCCCCTCCCTCCGACCCTGCCTTCCTCGACCCTGACCTTGACTGCTCCCTTCCCCTCTTCCCCCTTGAGGACCTCCCGACCAGTCCTCAGACCCCTCTCGCCCCTGCCTCTCCCTTCCTCCCGACGACCTCCCTCCCCCGTCCTCGCAAGCAGGATACCCGGCGCCCATGGAGCGACGAGGAGCACGCCGCCTTCCTCGACCTCATGGTCAAGTACAGCCCCGTCAGCTCCCGGCCCGTCCACGCGGGAGGCATGCTCTACAGCGGGCTGGGGCTGGGAGTCGCGAGGCGGATCGCAGAGGCGCTAGGGACGCGATCGGCGGCGCAGGTGCGGTCGCACGCGCAGAAGCACTTCCAGCGGGAGAGCCGGAGGAGGGCAGAGGGGACGGGAGAGCGAGTGGGGATGGTGAGGAGGTGAGAGTGAGGGAGGAGACAGAAGGGGAAGCGACGGTTGTTGAAGATCCTCCATGCCAGCAGGCTGGTGACCGGCAAAAATACTTGCTTTCTGCCTTGGTGTTTGTGTCTTTCTGTCTTTGTCTCTAGCTTGTAGGTAGTAGAATGTGTCAGTGCCTGACAGTGTTCGACACCTGTCTCAGCCCTGAAGGTGTACGGATGGTTGTCGTCTACAGCGATTGCTCAAGGCCTCGTTGCTGGGGCACCTGAAGGTTGTAGATCAGTGAAATGTACCCAACTGTGATACTCGATGAATGTGATAAAGAAAATGAGGTGAGAAGAGAACATTAATTAGAGTTCATATTTCTCAGAAGCATGTCTTATTTCTTTCAGATACACAAGTCCAGTCCAATGCAAGGGCTGACTTTTCTCTAGCTTTGTACAAGGACCATCATCAGTGAACCTTAAAGATCATTCCTTGTACAAGCGACCTTCGTTGAAACTATCTGCCTGGCAGCCTCGCTGCCTCGCTGACTGACTGCCTGCCTGCCTGCCTGCCTGCCTGCCTGACTAACTGATTGACGGACGGACTGTGTGCCTTCGATGAAGGGAAGGAGCGATCAACCGAGCAAGCAAGGGAGCAAAGGTACAAGGGAGGGAGGAACCGAGCGAGTGAGGAAGGGAGGGAGCGACCAACCGAGCGAGGGAACGAAAAGAGAGCGAGGGAGCGAGGGAATAAGGCTGGGAATACAACTGTAGAGGTTGACATAGGCGAGAGTGCAGGAGGGAATGAGAGACTCGATTCTGACAGGAGAAGAGTCTGGGGGCTTAAGAGGTAGAAACTCGCAGGTGAAGATGGTCAGCTTCGAATGGAAGTAAACACAGGGCAGAGGGGACGGGGAATAAGGCAGGGAATACAATTGTAGAGGTTGGAAGTAAACACTAGTGTCAAAGGAGGCTCAGATAATGGATTATCTGCGCGTCAGCTTATCAAGCCTCACGTAAATGATCAGCTCGGTCTTGATCATGCAAACATGAGGCGATCGATTGCTCGTGGCTCGCAGAGCCTGAAGTCTCATACAAGTCTCATACATCGTTCATGACTTGTTGCCTACCACCTCAACTATGCCAGTCGACTTCTGATGCCCCACATTACCAGCCTGCTG